ACTAAATGTGACAATAAATATAAAGTGCTTAACTCAGTGGCCAGGATGACTATTACCGGGCTCTCCATCAAGGGTGAGCTGAGAAAAGTCCTATTTACCTGATCGGAGCAAAGCCTTTGTATTTGTTACCTATGGCTGGGTAACAAATTGCCTCAGAACCTAAATTCTCACCTGATTTCCAAGGCTCAGGAATCTGGAAGTAGCTTAGTTGGGTAGTTCGGCTCAGAGTGACCTGGAGTTGCAGTCAGCCGAGGGCTTGGTCAAGGCCGGAGGGTCGGTTTCCGATCTCCGTCCGGGGGCTCCTGGGGGAAGGCATTAGTGCTTTACCGCATGGGCCCTGCTGTAGGCCCCCCCCGCCCCCACCCCCGGCCCCAGGAACTGATCCAAGAGAGAAGGCAAGTGTGATCAAGACAGAAGCCACGGAGTCTTTTATAACCGAATATCAAAAGTGGCACACCATAACTTCTGCTGTGTTCTGCTGGTGACACTGATCAGCCCCGGTACCATGTGAGAGGGGCCGGCGCGGGGGTGTAGGGGTGTGGGTGCCGGCAGGCGGAGACCCCTGGGGCCTGCCCAGAAGCTGGCTGCCGCGGCCTTCACGTCGTTTTCCTGAACAATGCCACGGACACTCTTTTTTTTCTCTCTCATTTTTTGCTTTAATTTTAGATTAGAGTCAGGAGGCTTTGGAGTAATTATGGTGGTTTTTTATAATCTACCAGCAGTGAAAAGCATCTGAGCATCAAGATAAATGTCTGAGAGGAGCCTGCCAGCCGCATGAGAAGCATGTAGCTCCTAAGAACTCCATGTAGCCTAAGAACTCCACCACGGACTTGCCTAGAATCTGGACTAGTACATATTCCAGCTCTGCACTTCCACAAAGTGCAAAGGACAAAAATGGTTAGCAGATATGGCACTGTTTACAAATCTGTATTTATGATTGAGGTCTGGCTGAAAAACAGCAAGAATCAACCATACAGCCTGGGAAGTCTAATTCTCACAGGAAGTTGCTTTGAAATAACCCCGTACTTCACGCAGTCTCCAACTGATGTCTTTGACGACCAGTTTGGACACATCAATAAAATGTTCTGTCACTTATTATATTTTATTTTCTTGCAGCGTTTCCCACTGTTTGATGGTAACTCGAACAGTTCCTGTTCTCACAGCAGAAGCTACGCTCTGATTTAGATTTGCCAAGCATATTGCTTTTGGCTACATTTCCTTCCCGAGCACAGGTCCTCGTGGTTTGAGAGGTCCCATTAAAGATCCCTAAAGGAAAATATGCAGCCTTCACTAGCTTGGATTTGTAGCTCCAAAATTTAGGAGAAAGCAGCTGGTTAACATTATAAACATTTTGAAGTACTTGTCTTTCAGAAATGCAAAGAACAATAGTAAGAAAAGCCCTTTGATGGCCCAGAATTTATTTTATGTACTTATTAATTGGTACACTTTCTCCCCCACTTTAACCAAAGATTCTTTGCATTGCAACAATAAAGTAAGTAAAGACATGTGTCTGCTTTAAAATCTTGATATCAGTTAGGTCTCCACAGTCCATTTTCGAGCTTTCTGTTTCTTCAGCCGGGCAGTGCTTTGATCTCAGAAGCAGTGCCATTTGGTTAGAAGTGTATGTGGTGCCTTTGATCTAGTACTTAGCTGGTCTTATTTAAAATAGATAGCTTCTTTTATCTAAGTGGTGTTTACTAGGTCTCTCTCTATGAAAGGTGGTGCAAAATGCTATAATTTAGATAGAAAGTTACATAAAGTGTCTTAAGAGTACCCAGATCTGAATCTAATTCTGTAAATTCTAAAACCCCAGTAGGTTTGTTGTAGATTTTGTAAAGCAAATTCCTATTAAAATGAACTGCTCCTATAGATGGCAAGTAATAGTTGCAAAAATTTTGTTGGCTTTTTAATGAGGAAGTGATTCGCTAAAGAATAATAAATATATCCTACACTTAGGCAAAATGGTAATCTCAGAGTGTCTGAGCTTAATGTCCAATTATACACTGAAATTCACATGTTAATGTATTTTTTATATTACTGGGTTACGCATACTATACAGGGTATATTTAAAAGGGGCTTTTCAAAAACAATAAATCTATATCTTTAATTCTTGTTTTTAAGGATTGTTGAGCATTTTAGCAGGTGCATTAGTGACTTGTGTTTAAATTTCCTACATTTACTTGTTCATTCAATGAACCATGCTACAGGTGCAGAGACACAAAGATGACAGTCACAGACCCTGCCACCAGGCTGCTCACTGCCTGGAGTCGGGGGACAAAGTACTAGCAGACAGTTATGTGACAGTTTGGTGAATGCCTCTCTTGGACAGTGGTCATCCCAGCCGGCCTTGGGAGTGATCAGGAAAGGCTTTCTAAAGAGGTAGCACCCAAGCTTCAGTGAAATACTGCTGACTCAGGACTCAGTGGGCCATCATTTCCCAGCCAAGCCCATAATGCAGAGCCAACCCCTCTGCCCAGGCACCACCCTCCACACTTCACAGTTTAATGCAGGCACCTACACTTTTGGGGAGGTCTCAACCTTGAATAGCTGTGCTTGCTGCCAAAAGCTGCCCCAAAGCCTTCTTGCTGGTCACTCCACACTAACAAAAAAAAAGCCCCAAATTGCTTTTCACCTACATTTTAGATCTGTAGCTCAATTCTTTATTTCTTCTTTAGAAATTTCTTTGTGTTTTAAGTTAAAGTAGCTAGATTTTTTTGGCAGGAAAGTGACTATTTATCGTATTTTTTCCATTATCATTTATCTCCCATACCCTCTTCCACCTCCATCCACCCCCTACCTCTCCGCTGCAATCACTACATTACTGTCTGTGTCCATGAGTTCTTTCTTATTTTTTCTTTTTTGATTGATTGTTCTGTTTTATTAGGGTAGTGACACATTTCTTTTCCTTGGTTTCATGCTCCTACCATTTCATAAGTCTTGTCATTACTTTGCCTACATACTAATAGTGCGTGTGTACTTGCTAGCACTGATCCCGGGAGGCAGCACTCTGGAAGATACTCAAGGACAATGTAGGGCCCTTCCCAGGCCCGGAGGTAGGGACAGGGGCAGGAGAAAGCAATCCGTAGTCAAGTGCAACATCTTTGTAATAGTAGTCACAACTGTTCTAGGAAGGTCTTAGGGGGCAAATCAGTGGGACTGGGGCCTCAGCTCAGGAGACTCGTACTGGGTTTGTGGAGTTGGAAAGGAGAGGCTGGCCTCTGGATGACACAATACTGTGAGTTTGGAGTGTCCTGGTCAGTGCGAGATGGTCGGTGTTTGGCAGAGAAGGTAGAGGCAGCAGGTGCTGAAAGCAAACTCTAGGAGTTTGGCTTTTCTCCCACTGGTGCTACCACGTCCCTGAGGCTGCGAAACTGCAAAATGAAGTGGTACTTTGGTCCTTTCCCTGTTTTTTCACATCAGTCACCAAGCACTACTGACTCTGAGAATTATGCATTTTAGGTACCAGGAAGCTTCAAAATCAGAGAGGCTACTCTCCTCATTTATCCAGTGAGGAAATACACTCCAAATTCAGGCATCCCACATGTCACAGTCACTAAGTAGCAGAGCCAGGGATGCCTGGCCACCCTGTGGACCAGGACCTGGGCCTGGGCTTCTCTTCCTGGCCTTTCCCTCTAAGAGTCTTGGAGTAGGGTCTAGGACCCTGGACAGTTCACAGAAGCTGTGGGAGAGGGGCCACCATACCCTGGGGCGTTGCAACAGTAGTAAGCTCCAGGCACAGTGCTGTTCTCATAGGGCTTCATCTCTCTATCCAGACTTCCAGGGTCCACACCAGGCCAGAACTGGAATAGGAGTGGTAGCTGGTAAGTACAGAGACAGAGAGAACAGAAAAGAATCAGGATACAGCCCTGGCCAGCCTCAGTTCATTAGAGTGTCATCCCAATACACCAAGACTGAGGGTTTGAGCCCCAGTCAGGGCCATACAAGAATAAACCAATGAATGCATAAATAAGTAAATAACAAATCAATGTTTCTCTCCCTCCTCCTCCCTGCCTCTCTTTTTAAAATCAATAAAATTTTAGAATTTTTAAAAAAGAATCAGCATACTCATGTGAGCCACAGGAAAGCCAGGCTGGGAAGAAGGAGAGCAATATTACATTTAGGAGAAAGAAACGTTTTTATGAGTTACTAATCATATGCTGCCTATGGCTGCTAACTTCAGGAAGGCCAAAAGGAGCCTGTCCCATCCAAACTACATAGTCTGAAATCAAGGTGGAAAAGTGGTCCCCAAGAAAACCAGGGCATTGTTAGAAGGAGATGGAAGATAAGTGCTGGAAAAGCAAAAATAATAGATTTTGACAGCAGTCTCCTTGCTTAACCTGGAGGTAAAAAAAAAAAGTACAAGACTGGAATGTTCTCACAGAGTGTTAATACAGAGAGAGCATATTCTCACTGCTCTCTCTATATTAACTATTTGAGGCTATCCACAAACCTGTTATGGAGGGACTACTATTACTCCCATTTACAGAGGAGGAAACTGAGTCACAGAAAGACTAACTTGGCTCAAGGTCTTTCAGCTAGTAAGTGCTGAAGCTGGGATTTGAAGCCAAGCAGCCTGACTCTAGAACCTGTGAAAGTATTTTCCATTTCCCTTCTTTTTTTACATTTTTTTTCTCTGAAAAAAAAAGAAAAAGAAGGATTTGGGGAAGGCCCTGATAATGAATGTAATCACCTGGCACCCAATAGCCATTATTACTTTTGTGATTATTTACCAGAAGAGTATGTAAAGCCTCTGACGCATAGTAGCCATTCAATGACTATGAAATAGGACAAAAAAGCATTTGAAGCCCAACCAACAGATTTACATGGAATCTAGGGCTGAAAGAAAATTTGTATGATCTTCGGAGCATTGGCAATATGTATGAAAGAATAGGAACAGACAGCAAATGTATGCATAGAAATGTCTAGAGACCCATTGAGGTAGGAACAACATGGTGAATGCTAAATCTTTCAATGAACCCTATTGTCCTTCCCTTCTCAAGTGCTGCTTAAGTAGAGCTGAAGCCAGACGGGATGCAGCTAAAGTGGCCCTAATCAACTCCCTCTTCAACGAGCTGCCTTCTCGAAGGATCACCAAGGAATTCATCATGGAGAGTGTGCAGGAAGCAGTCGCCTCCACTAGCGTGAGTACCACCAGGGGAGGGAGGAGTGGGCTGCAGCTGGAATCCTGAGGCATTTGAATCGTGCGCGATGCTGCAGTGAGCGCATTCTTTAAGAATTGTGCAGACTTAATTTTTTACCCATGAAATCATTAATTTGCAGCATCTTTCCAAAAAGAACACTTGATTGGAAAGCACAAAATTGGAGTTGGCTCCCTATTTTTCATCTCAGTGATATTCTTTAACTTCCCTGGATCACAATTAATCAAGCTTTCAATCAAGGTAGATAACGTGATCCGCCTTGATTTATTTATTTGAATGTTTACCGTTTGAGGAGCATCGATTTGTTTTAGGGCCTGAGACCACGTGCATTTCCACGCTGCTTTAATCTAAAGGCAAATTAACTAGCTCATTTCCCCCTAAATTTAACTAATCTTACAAATTATCTGAAGTGCTTATTAAAAGTGCAGCCACCGTGGACTGCTGCAGCCTATATTTTTATGGAATTGCTGACCACTTAGATATGGGAAAGCTGGGTGCCCCAGATTTGTTAACTACTAGAGTTATCATGCCTAATCAATTACTTCTTTCAGAGGGCTTTGAAAATTTTTGTAATGGACATAACTAAATGTAAAATGCTTTAAGAGCAAAAAACTTTGTCTTAGAAATTTAAATAGCATGTTTTCTCAACAATCCAGAAGTGCGTGATTTGCCCGTAATTATTTGGAGTCCTGATCCTTGTTACCTCCACTCTCTAAACCACAATTCCTTGTGGAAGGCTTGGATCCCTGCCGTGGCAGGCATCTCTTCCTGGACCACCTCCAAGGGCCAGAACAGGGCATTACCAAAGGGATCAGTGGACTCCTGGTTTATCTTTTGCATAGATGAACTGCACCTAAGATTTTCATTACCTGATTCCCTTAGTCTGATTGTAAAGGCTTGGTTATTCTGGAGAAGCTATTGATACTGAGGGAGACTTTATCACTCTAGCAGTTATCCCCTCATAAATGCTCTTATCACACAGAGGAAGATAAGGAAAGGGGCAGAATGGTTGGCCTGGCTGGGAGACTTCACGAGCTCTGTTCTATATCTCCTCTGGGGATGAAAGGAAGCCTTTGTTCTGCTACCCTGTAAATTTCAAGTGCCTTTGAGGAAGAGAACTTAGGAAAATGATGCCTGATTTCTGTGTGTGGAATTTACTCAGGAGCAGGGAGGGGCCATCAGTGTAAAGGTAATTTATCATTTTTTCATGGAAATTTCTAAGGAAGAGAATATATAAGGTTTGCAGACTCCTGGGTGGATTTCCTCTGGGATATTTAAAGAGCCAACATAAATATTTCAGCAGCAGTTTGTTAATGTTATTGCATTCAAAAGCTATAAATCTGCTGCTATCTGATGCTGGCAGTCACATGTTCAGTCTCACAAAGCCACTGCCCACCTTCCCCACCTTCCCAAGAATCTAAGAACCTGGGATATTGAAGGGCGGGCCCAGAACTGATGTTAGCTTTTTTATTGCCACTCCCTCTAACTAAACTGAAGGAGAATTTCATTTCTACTCATCACCCACCCACCTTGTTCACTAAAGAGTAAATGATCTAGAAGTGAAAATGTAAACCAAGACCCATGTCTCTAGGCCGTACACCAGCATATTATAAAAGTTCCCATTAAGAATTATGGCAGTAAAATATGAATGGTCCACAGAACTGGAGAACTCTTTCCTTGTCAGTTATATAATCTTGCCTGGCTATCCTCAGAATCAGAGCAAGATCATCATTTCAGGAGTTTAATAACACATGAAGGCAATGCTCAGAGGACAGCCACTTTGACATTAACACCACCATCAACAAAAAACCCTGTGTAAGCCTGGCTCATGTAGTTCAGTGGGTTGAGTGCAGGCTGTGAACCAAAGGGTCACCAGTTCATTTCCCAGTCAGGCCTGGGTTGCGGGCCAGGTCCCCAGTGGAGGCCACGTGAGAGGCAACCACACATTGATGTTTCCTTCCCTCTCTTTCTCCCTTCCCTTTTCTCTAAAAATAAATAAAACCTTGGGAAAAAAAAAACAACTCTGTGCCAGGATTCAGGAATTTCTACTTTGGGACAATTATTCTTTTAGTGAATAGACATAATCAGTTAACATTCTGATGAAAAGCCAGATTCAATTTGATTACAAAATCCTCTTTCTCCCAACTCATGGTGAGATACAGGATTTTATCCCAAATCAGCTGGAGACTTGGAGGTAGAGTGCACACCAGGAGAGTCAGGATAACACTAGGAGGGTCCCTGTGGGGCCACAGCTGCCGTTCGTGATCACCCAAAGAAGAGGAGGGAATCCATAACAGTTCCCTTTTCTGCTCCCTCCAAGGGCACCCTGGACGACGCGGACGACCCCAGCACCAGCATTGGAGCCTACCACTACATGTTGGAGTCAAACATGGGGAAGACCATGCTAGAATTTCAGGTGCCCAACTTCTTGCCGCTTGTTCATTTTGCTGCCCAATCTAAAAGCCTGGGAGAATGCCACTCTCATCACTAACACCTCCTTTTCCCCTTTCTCCAGAAAAAGATCAACTTTTTCTGTTTGCTTCAGACATTTTAATGTAACCTCTACAGTAGCTCCATCTTTGCCAGGCCTCGTGGGATAAAATAAACATGCGAACAAGGTGCCAGTTTGCTTTCTTAAAGGGAAGTAAAAGACCCAAGTCTAAGAAGTAAGCAGGGATCACCACTGACTTAGGACTCTAACATTTTGCTTGCTTTTCAGTACAAAGTTCCCTTTTAAACCAAGTCAGGCAGTGCAGGTTGACTGTGTTTGGAGTGTTGGTTGTGACTATTTGGTTCTTAATTTTCGGAAGTCATAGGTGAAGTTTCCCACAATGTATATTAAACAGGGCTCCCCTTAGTTCTGGTATTTCTATTAAATACAATCTGCCACTTCCTATCATTAATGAAATAAAAAGATTTAGCAAGCTATAACCCTTTTTTGTCCATTCAGACAAGCGATAACAGAGCTGATGAACCACGTTATCCATTATTTCCAAATTAATTAATCATATCAATAACAACAATAATAAGAACAACAATAGCTGATACTTATTGGATGCTTACTTTGGCACTATGCTAAACATTTCACAAATACTGTCAGAACTTAACCTTCAAAATAAACATATACATATTATCCCCATGTCTTTCCTGAAAGAAGTGGGCCTATGGCTTAGCAAATGGCAGAGCCAAGTTCAGACCCAGGCAATCTGGTTTCTGAGCTCACACCCTCGGCTGTTGTTCCGTACTGGGCTGGGCAGACGAAAATTCAGTTGTAAGGAAGCATAAAATGTTTGTCCCCTAAAAAACTGAACTTAAATGCAGTTGAACATACCCCCAGTATTTCTATCTTTTTAGGTTAGGTTCTAAGAAGCAATTAGAAATATAGCGTTTTACAGACAAAAAAAAATGTTTATCATGAAATAATTTACAATGTTGTTATAGCTGAGCCCTGAGGCCACAAACTTTCAAATATTTTCTTCAGTACCTTTCAAATGGTTTTCCTGCCTACAGTGGCATAGTCACTTCTCAGGTGAATATGTCCTCCCCGCCCATTTCTCCCAATAATGTATTTCCCCATCAGTACCTTGTTTGAACAAAGCAATAGCCTTTCTTCACCTTGTCCTATGGAGATGTCGGTCATCCAGTTAGTTTTTTTGCTTGTTAGTTTTGGTTTGTTTTGGTTTTTTTTGCTTTTTAAGTGGCCATGGTCTCATGGACCTTTGATGTTGCTTTTCTTGGTTTGGAAGAGAGCAGGTGCCCTTAAAGCCTGCCCTCTGGAGCAGACCTGGGCAGGCATCAGCGCAGTGGGCCCGAGCCCAGGCTTCGGAGGGGGCTGGTCCCTTTCAGCCTGGCTCTGCTCCTCAATTCTAAATCTGTTTCCTCATGTGCATATAAATCAGGGAGAATAACAGTAGTGGAATTACCTCACAGTACCACTGTACGGATTGAAGGGGACAATACAGAACGGGTCCAGGATAGCTCCTGGCATAGCCATGTCATACATGCTCAGTGAAGGTTAACAGCCATCGTTAGATATGTTTCTAAAGAAGGACTGCTTTACTTAAAGTGCCTGTGGTTGCAGATGGACTCCCTTGAGAATTTTGTGTGACCTAAAGGTTTCAGATGAAGCAGGGCAGGTCCCCTACACTACACATTTTAGGCTCCTTGCTGCAGAATTAAAAGGTAGAACTGTGCAGGGCCCTTCCCCATGTCCTCTCATAGCAATCTAAGGTCAAACAGATAAAACAAGTAGAGGATCATAACACAAGAGAAAGAACACAGAGTTTTAGAAATAACACAGACCTGTGTGTGAGGCGCACGCTACCACTGGCCACCTGGGAACTTAACTATTCCAAGATTCAGTTTTTCCACATATGAAATAAGAATCATAATGCCCCTTATGTAGGATTTTTGCGGGACTTACATATTATGACACCTACAAAGCATCTAGCATAAGTGATTTCCTCAAAGAAGAACCTCATTTTTAAAAATTTCTCCTCCCCTCTCAATCTCGACCAAAAATATTGTATTTATGTTATTATAAAATGGATGGTGCTTGCCCCAGTACATAGTAGTTTGTACATGATTTAGTACTGATTTTTCATAAAATTGAGAACCATTATTTTCATTTCAAATGAACAGTTATTGATCCCATATTAAATGGTACAAGGTTAGGAAATGCCTGCCTGTGGACAATTCTCTCCACTATGTTTATCCTCAACTGGGCACATCCTATGATCACTAGTCTTCTGAATTATTCAAACTCCTGTGGTAGGTCTGTGCAGAAGCTCCTAATCTTTTTAGGAAGTTGTGGTTAGTAGAATAAAGATCACAGCCAATGGAGAACCTGCTTCATTTTAACAAGCTCTGAGATGAACTTGTTGCTTTCCCTGCGGGGGGCTGGGCTTGTCTGGTGCTCTAGTTGTGGGCTCTTTCAAATAATCACCAGTGGCACTTACTGTGGCCTCCTCGGCGGCTCCTTCCACAAAGCTGGGGGTGTTTGATTCCACATCAGTAGACAATTCCAAAGCCTGTGTCTTCTCCAAATAAACATCGGTGGTCAACTCTGTATCACCCGTAAGGTCTAGGGCAGTGGGCAACTCCGGGTCAGTGGTTGGCGTTAGTTCAGCCTGTAACTCTGAGTTACTGGAAATGTCTGCAACTGAGTCAGCAGCGGTGTGTGGGGGAGCGTCGAGGGGGAGTCACAGACAGGAAGCACCAGGTGCTGAGGATGAAGGCCTTCTGGATCCTGGTGTGGGCCGGGAGCTGGGGGCGGGGCAGAAGGCTGGAGTAGGCCAGGGGGCAGGTGATAGGTCTCAGTGCCGAGAATGATTAAAAAAAAAAAAAAAAAATACAGCTGGGTTAGTCTGCCAAAGATGGGGAAGGCAAGATTTAAAAATTTTTTTTAAATTTCATCTTAAGTACTGTTATAGGCTGTACTGACCCACCTTTTAATAATACTTTAATTGCCTTGGTAGAGGTTGTGTGTTTTTTTGTGTGGTCTACGTAGTAAGGTATTTAAATATATGAAACAATAATTTCAGCCACGCTGCAGAAATGCTTCATAAGTTCTCCCACAGGAGGTCGGGGGCGGGATGTGGTACAGACATAGGAAGAGGAAGATTTGAGGACAGGAAAGATCCAAAATCCTTTCCCCCAGCAGGGATGCTGGGAACCCAGGAAAAAGGCCTTGCAGCACATCCCTTTTCTTTCTGCCAGTTCTAGGTTGACTGTGGGGCCTGCACACTCCTTGGTGGCCCAAGTTCAATGCGCCAGCTTGTTTCTGCACATAATGGGACTTGACCACAGACCTGGGCTCTTTGCAGCCGACACAGCAGTTCAGTACCCCTGGTGGGTAATAGATGTGTGTTTGTATCTATAGATGACTATACCATATAAAAACAAGGCTGGTGTCTGCTGACTGCCCACAGGCTTTCCAGGGGGGCTGTCAAGGAGGCAGCGATCAGAGGAAACGTGATAGGCTTCTGCTTACCTTCACTTCGTGGGAGGGAAGCCAGGATGCCTGTTTGGAGGTAGAACTGCCTGATGTCTGGGGGGAGGGATGGTGACAGCACTAGCCACTGGGTCTTGTCAAGGTCAGATTCAAGGCAGACTTTGACTGAAGCTGGTTAATATATTTATTCTGTAGCCTAATGCAATCCAAGGATGAGTTGTTTATTTACATCTCTGCTAAATTCTCCAGGTTGCCTTTTAAAACCCCATCTCATAAACAAATTTCCTTTTAAATCCACTCTCTTGGGTGGGGAGAGGGTGCCCACCTGTTTTTCAAGCTCTCCATTCACAGTGTTTGTTTTTCTTATTTCTGATGAATCGCAGAACCAAGCCAGTCTCCCAGACATAATTCCAGAAAGAGGCAGTGTGCATTTTCTCTCCACAAAGCAGCTGAGAGGCCAAAGTGTGTTTCTTCTAGGAGAAGTTACCAGGAAGCACTGTGAGGACAGAGCCCAGTTGTACTTGGTTTAAAATGAATGAGTGACAAAATGAAGTGGGAAAGCTGTGGAATGAAAGCTACAATTGCAATTTTCCCTGAGGAGAAAGAAAACACAGGGCTTGATTCTCCATTTGATGTTAAATTTACTTTGCTGATCAGGAGTAGCTATGCAATTTGTGGGGCCCACTGCAAAATAAAAATGCAGGGCCTTTTGTTCAAAAATTACCAAGAATTTCAAGACAGTGCAGCATCGAACCAAGCTCAAGGTCCTGTGTGTGTGCCCAGGTCACAAGTTCATGAAGCTGTGGCCTTGTCCTTGAGACAGACCCCTGAGAAGGGCAAGAAGAGACAAGCACAAAATGTAAAGGAGCGTCAAAAGTCTCAGTAATTAATACAAGTAATATTATAATGCATTATTGTAAAAAGTCAAAATTAACATGAAAATTCACAACCAACAAAATATCAAAAGTTTAAATAATGACAGAATTTTAAATAAAAGACCCTGAAATTGCATGACTCACCTGAAATCTTGTTTTACTCACCACACCCTAGTCCTGACCCAACCGTTGGCCATTTCTTATTTATCTGTCAGGGTACCCAGACATAACAAGCAACACAGCACAAAAACTTCTGCAATGAGGACAGATAGCTCATTGGACAGACTTCCTTTAAAGAGACACAACTTCAGCTCTGGCTGGTGTGGATCAGTGGATTGAGTGCCAGCCTATGAATCAAAACATCACCAGTTCAATTTCCAGCCAGGGCACATGCCTGGGCTGTGGGCCAGGACCCCAGTTGGGGTACATGTGAGAGGCAACCGATCAAAGTATGGCACACTTTGATATTTCTCCCCCTCTCTCCCTCCCTTCCCCTCTCTCTAAAAATAAATAAATAAAGTCTTCTAAAAAGTAAATAAAGAGACAGGACTTCAATAGATAGGAAACAAGATTAGAAGACCAGGCAGCAAGGAATGATGGTGAAACCAGGAGGTGAATCCTTGCAGGAGTCCACAGCAGCCCTGTCCTCACTAGTCTGCAGTGATGCAAGGATTTCTGATGGAAGGAATCAACGGGAGCCACACAGACAATTCCTGGGGCTCCGTTAGCTTCACGAAGATCTGAAGCTGGTGAATTTGGTCTTCGGAGGGGAAATAAAGAAGTGGACCAGAAAGAATGTAGAACTATTTCAATATACTTTACATAATGGTAGTGAGATTAATATCTCTACAGAGGAGGGGAAGAATTAGATGGGAACATAATGAAAGGAGGCAGAAAGAAGGTCATCTTCCCTGGAGGATTTTAGAAATAAGAGCAACACTGCTGAAAAGCCATTTGTGTTACTTACAGAGGAAAAAAATGTTTGGTGATGCAATAGAAGTTTACACAAATCAGAGTGGGTGGGTGAGGAGGATGACCATCCTCCCGCCGGCAAGTGGAAGGGAGCCAGCATGACAGGGGCAGCTTCCCTGGGCACTGGACCCAGGACCCTGGGCAGACAGCGGAGTCTCTGTTTGGGGCAGAAGTAATTCAGCTGGTTTCCATGTCATCTTTTAATTAACGGAAGCAGATGGTTTTGTGTTTACTGAGGTCTCTGTGGGTTCCTGGGGGTGCTTACTGTTTAGTAGAACATAGACAAAAATCCGAAACTGGATCCCAAACTGAAAAGAAGAAAAATATTACACTCTAATAGCAATTTTCAACACAAGAATAGCGCTAATTGCTCTCCTGATTATCTTACAGCTTTAAAATTTACCTAGTAATTCTAAGATGTCTGAAATCTCAGAATGACTGTGTCTCTTGATTTTCATAATGAAAACTTTTTCATGATGAGGCAAAAAGAGTAAAAGTCAGCTTCTTCAAATAGTAGGACATCTGTCTAAATGTAAGGTTTTCATAACTAGTTTCATTACCAGGAAGTTCCTTAATTGTATTGTTATTTTCTGATAATTATATGGTTGTGGTTTGTGGTATTAATGCACAATAAATGTCTCTCTGACCAAATAGAGAAGAAAAAACAAAATATGCAAATAACTTCAATGAAAGGTGGCTAGTTCTAATCACATTAGGAAAATAAAACCTTCGATATGTCTATACACTTTAGCTCGCCCTTGACATCACGCAGGGAGGGCACGGTGCTGATAGAAAGACTGTCCACTGGGCTAGGTACCAGCCATGAGAAACATATTTATGGGTGTATTTAATGGCAATTCAACCTTACTATCCATATTTTAAGGAATTTTCTTGACTGAATTTATAAATTTAGGAGTATTTTATAGTGTTTAGAGTCTGTCCATTATATGTTTTATATATATATCTATCTATACATAGATAGATATAGATATAAATTTAGTATGAAATTTGGAAGACACTTCTTTGTCCTCTGATAGCTTCTTAAATTGAGCTGGACTCTACCTACTGGCACTTTTGAAAGACACATTCCTTTCCCACTTCCTCAGCACATTCACTCATTCCTTCATGCAGTGATTTTCTTTATAAGCCATCTTTTTGGCTTAATTTTTTAATTTAAATTTTTTCTTAATATGTAATATTGTCACATGATTCAAAATTCCAGAGGTATAAGACTGTCAGAGGAAGTTCTCCCCCGATCCCCACCTACCCCAGGCAGTCCTTTTCTCTCCCAAAATGGGTGACTAACTTCTTACCCAATCTTTTTCTTTCTTGTCAGAACTCTCTGGGCATTTAAAATGTTTATAGAGACCTACTCTGTTTTTATCAACTACCAGCACACATTATACAGGTTGGGCATTTGGCTTTTATTTTATTTTAACAACACATCACAGAGATTCTTTATATTAAAACTTGGAGATCCTTCTTTTTTTGTCACTATGAAAACTGTATTGTGTCATAGCCAATACTTTTTATTAAATTGTTTTAATTGTTATTCTATCACAGTTGTCCCAGTTTTCTCCTTCTGCCCTCCTCTGCCCAGCCCAGCCCCCGCCCCAGTCAATCCCCACACTGTTGTCCACATCCGTGGGTCATTCATTCATGTCCTTTGGCTAGTCCATCCCCTTCTTTCCACCATTATCCCCATCTTATCCTTGCTTTATGACTGCCATGTATTCTGTAGTATGAATGAATTGTAGGGGAGGAAAAATAACTTTCTGTCCACACTTCTGAGTTCTTATCTAAGACCCCTGTAATAAAAGACAGATGAACAAGAGTAAAACACTAAGTTTATTGACATGAATACTTCATGTATACATGAGAGATACCTGGGGAAAAAAGAAAAAAACGAGTACGACCTTCAGGGGTAGCTTAGAATTCAGGATTAAATACCATCTTAATAAGGCAAGGGGAGACAGGATGCAGGCCTTTTAGGAGAGAGGAAATGGTTTTTCGGGAAAACAAAGGGTCCCTTGGAAGAATAGATGGCTAATATAATTATGATGTGCCTTGGTGTGTTTCTTCTTGGGTCCAACTTCTTTGGGACTCTCTGAGCTTCCTGGATTTCCTGGAAGTCTATGATGAGAGAATCCTAGAAGCAGCAAGAGCTAAGGGGACAGTCACCTACGAAGGAGTGCCCATCAGACTGTCAGCGGATTTCTCAAAAGAGACCTTACAGGCAAGAAGGGGCTGGAAAGAAGTGTTCCAAGTCATGAAATCCAAAGACCTACAACCAAGATTGCTCTATCCAGCAAAGTTTTCATTTATAATGGAAGGACAGATAAAGTGCTTCTCAGATAAGATCAAATTCAAGGAGTTCATCATCACCAAGCCTTTATTATATGAAATGTTAAAGGGACTTATCTAAGACAAAGAAGATAAAAAATATGAACAGTGAAAGGACAGCAAACTCACAGTTATTAACAATCACATCTAAAAAAAAGCAAGCTAAAAGGACAGCTAGATCAGGAGCAGAACCATAGAAATGAAGATCTCATGGAGGGTTAGCAACAGGGGAGTGGGAGAAGAAGGGGGGAGAAGGTACAGAAATAAATAGCATAGACGGTAGGTAGAAAATAGATAGGGGGAGGGCAGGAATAGTATGGGAAATATAGAATCTAAAGAACTTGAGACATGTGGTCATAAACTAAAGGGGGGGAATGGTAGGGGTGGGGAGATGCAGGGTGGAGGGGAATGAAGGGGGGAATAGAACAACTGTAATGGCATAATCAATAAAATAAAAATTTTTAAAAAAGAAAAAGAATAGACGGGAGGCTTGATGGTTCGTCACAGCTGACTTCCAATACCCTCTCCTGTGATAAGAGGAAGTCACCCCTGGCTGGTGACACTCCTCTGGACAGATTGTGACAATCAGCGCCTTTTGGAGGATCTCTCTTTAGACAGATAAGAGGAGTTCAGAGAAAGCCCCTCCTTGCATTTGCTGGTCTTCAGGTGCCTTCTGCTAAAAATAATCAATACACCAAAGTGTCATATTTTGGGGTGGCATATTCTGCCACCCTTCAATATCATACTTTATTTAACCATCCCTTTAAAAATGAACATTTAAAATGCTTTCCATCTCAGGCAACTTCAAAAATGATGCAGTGAGTAACCTTGCCTACACATTATTCTCAGATGCACTGGTTTATTTAGATAACTTCAGAATACAGCAATGTAACTTTTTTTACACTGCTTAAAATTGAAAGATATTAATTATTTAGTCATTTTATTATGCAAATATGGATGTAGCAGGGGAGGGAAGGAAGAATGCTACAGAAGTTGGGACTTCAGTGTTTGGTAATCTCAAAGTGTTCTGACGATGTTGTGTGTTCTACTTCCCTGATAGAGTTGGGGACCACGGTTATGCCTTGCTCAGCTGTCACTGAGGCATTTTTTTTCACATTTCTGTTTTGAGACTAATGACAGATGTTTGCATGTTGTAGGAGCTGATGACCATTTTCCAACTATTACACTGGAACGGAAGCCTGAAAGCCCTGCGTGAAACAAAGTGTTCCCGACAGGTGAGATTTCACAGTCCGGAGTGGGTTTGTGTCATGCGAACATGGCAGATGGCTAGTAAGTAATCTTCCTAAGAGATTTTCTTCATTTGGATTTTTCTCTGTTTAAATTTGGTACTTTATTTATTAAGAACAGAGAACAAAACAAAAAGAATATGTATGTGTATTACATATATATATATTCCAAAGTTTGAATCAGGAACTATCCAAATATGCATACTAAGAACTTTCATTGGGCATAGGACTGATTTAAATACATGTACTGAATGCAAGGATGAAGGGATCATTAAGACAGACTTCATTTCTAAGGCAAACGCAGAATATGCTCTATTTACCTGTTCTGCCCTCGTAGAAAGCGTGTCCTCCACTCTGCAATGCAGAAGGAAACTCAAGAGCACGCTACTTGGGAAGCCCCTCAGGGAGGAGAGGTTAAGCTGATTGCAGCAGGAGGAGTTTTCTCACCACCACCAAAGTCCCCAACATGAAACAGAAATAATTATAAAAGTGGGCAAACTGACATTTAATCACCTCAGTTTTCTTGGCTTTGGAGGTTTCTTTTTTATTTTTCAGAGGGGGGGGTCTCACTATTTCTTTGCTACCTGAAAAGGACCCTTCCCCCTTTTTTAATGGCAAAGGGAAACCCTCTCCTGTGTATTTGATGGTTTTTACCTACTATCCTCAAAGATTTACCCTCCTTTATCCACCATTATACTTTGAAGGATGGTAGTTTATTTTCAAGAATTCGCCAACAGGAATTTGTATGAGGAACAAAGCCCCTAGTCAGCAAGATGAGGTGGATGTAAGAGTTTCCATGCACTCCAGCCCCAGGAGTTTTTAGTTGTTCTTTGCGTAGAAAGTCTGGCTTTCAAAATGTCAAAGATGGAAAAGAAATGAGTAGCTGACAATGGCTTTGGTTATTTTTTCTTTTCCTTTGATTTTACAAAAGGCCTTTGAAATATGCAGGGTTGGTTATAAACACTTTTCCATGATTGTTTTTAATTTGTTAAGGTCATAAATAAATACCATATGTTCTTGAAAATAAAAATAAGCAGTGCATCCACTCTTCTTAAAGTGTCTCCATCAAACCTACACGTGACGTTACAATGTATTGGCAAATTTTTCACATGAGAATGGACAGGTAGTGACTGATTTTTAATTGTTTACAGAAGTAAGAGACCATGTACATGAAGGTACCAATATGATATCAATAATGATAATGCCTACATGCCATAATACTTTTTAAAGTTATTTCTGCAGTTTCTGTGAGTGATTTGGACTGTCATCTTCCTTATGCTAACAATACATTTTCTAGTGAGGTCGGGCCTCTATTTTGTGAACTTTATTGAGTCTTCCTTGTGTAGTGTTTTAACTCAACCTGGAGTGATTTTGCTTTGCTGTAGCAGCTAGTCCTTCATTTTCTTTAAGAAGTATGTCATGGGATTTGGCTTCAGTGTGTGTAAAGATCAGAGAGGCTTCATCGTTGGTAAAACCCTCATGGTGTGTGTGTGGGGGGGGGAGGCAGAGGAAAAGAAGCATCAAAAAGCCATGAACACAGGTGCCTTTGTTGCTTTTGACTGACACTCTGGACTTTGTTTCTTGGCTCCCAGGAAGTCATCTCCTACTATTCCCAGTATTCCCTGGATGAAAAGATGCGCAGCCACATGGCCCTGGACTGGATCATGAAGGAGCAGGAGTCCCCAGGAATCCTCTCTCAAGAGCTACGAATGGCCCTGAGGGAGTTGGAGGAAGCCAGGAAAGCAGGACAAGAACTACGGTTTTACAAGGAAAAGAAAGAAATCCTGAGTTTAGCCCTGACTCAGATCTACAGCGATCCTGACACTTCCTCACCCAGTGATGACAAGCTGAGCCTCACAGCCCTTTGTGGCTATCACTAGCCAGGCCAGGTTCCAACTCCTCCAAAGGCTGGCAGAGCCAACACTAACATTAGGAAGCTCATGGAGGGAGATTATGAGAGGCTTTAGCAGCTACAGCTAGTACCTGAAGGCGGTACTAATTCTCCCCACCCATTTCATTCACAGCCTCTGGCAGCAGTAAGACCCTCATAGGACCCAACCTCCCACTCAATTCAGTTTATTTTTCATTATGCTCCCAATAGTTCTACCTCAGAATGAAAGGATGGAGACGGGATGGCTTGAAAAATATTTTCCAGGTTTGGCTCCAACCTAAGGCCCAATTGACATGTGACCTCTAGATTATATATGTTGTTTCAAAGAACGGACCAGGGTAGCATCCTCCAAAAGAACAGCAGCTGGGACTGGGGAAAATAGCATGATAGCCATTTTTGTTAAATAAAAAACATGGATTGGAGTTAAATAAAAACATGGATTGTTTGCTAAGGATTCAAAGGTCAGAGTTTCTTCCTAAGCTTTGTAAGCTAAGAGAGCTTACTCTCTACTAGCTGTAAACCAAATCTAAAGTGAGAATTTTATCTGGGCATCCTACTATCGAAGATCTTGAAGTAATAGCATGAAAATACTAAAAAAAATCAATGTGGCTTAAAATGCTATTTGATAATAATTTTTTAAGTCCACACCCTTCCATATCACCTACAATAGAACCATTAAAAAGAATCTCCTAATAGAACGAGTGTCTAATTTTTATGAGTCTTGCAATCAGTTGTGTCCACTTATAATTTGCAATAAATAACTTGAATTGATTTGTTTTTATGTTTGCCACCACAGTCATATATCTATCATGGAGAAGGTTATTGGTATTTTAAAGATCGAAACATTTTGAAAAATTATTAGCATTTAACAATGTTGCATTTAATTAATTTCTCATGCATTACAGAGAAGGAATCTTCAGCTGCCTTCACTGTTGTTCGAGAGCATAAGCCACCAGTAGCTCAAAGCTATTGCCATTTTTAAGTTTAAATTGCTGAAATCTTCTTTAAAGAAAGTAAGACATTGCCATCTCTCTTTGAAAAGGGCTTGGGTCCAGTGACTGATTAGAAAACCAAAAGCAAATACAAACTAAATTTTAGATGGTTGATGGTCATTCAAATTTTAAAGTGGCAACAGTGACAACTTTAACACCTGTAGGTATTTCCATATCTATAACATGAAAAGGATTCCCTTGTATTTAGTCCAACAATTCAAATTTAAAAAAAAAATTTTTTCTCAATTTTAGATAAGTTTTCTTTTCCTTCCTGTTTAGGCAAATGGAAACTAATTTTCCTGAAAGATAAAACTATTATAGCTACTTTAAATTTACAAAAATATGATACTTAAGCCTTATATCTAAATATGTACCAAAATATTTGGCACTCCTTAAATCTCCATGAATACTATTGTGCATTGATCATATACATTTTGGAATTAGTCATAATAATTAAAACTTCACAATTTAAATTTCCCACACCAGGGGAAAACTTCACATATTACATTTCCCACACCAGGGGGAAGTTTTGAAAAGGTAATACTATGCAACATTATACACGTTTTATATTAAAATATTGTTTTAACAAAAATCACATTCCTCCCCATAATGAGGCTGAATGTCACCTAGAAGAAAATTTTATTCCCTTATATTCCCCCCCAAAGAATTAGAATTAATATTTGTAAGTTGAATAAATTTTGAGGAAACTACCTATCTGCAGTAGTTTTTAAAATAAAGTCATTACTCTTTATTGTTTGCAAAAAGCCACAATTTCCCACACTGAGTGTAATTAAAGGCAGGTCCATCTTTATTGCGTTTGCAACTGTTGACAACGGCCGCTACACTGACATTGCTGACACCGTCTGAACAGATGCAGGAACAGGAGTCAGCTGGGAAAATATCACATTTGCTTTTCAGGCTGATTGCTCTACAATGAGCAAATTGCACCCACTCTGTTCATGGAAAATAGAAACTCTCCCTTAGCCACCATCTGTTTTTCCTGGCTGGTCCAAACTGCCCCCTCCTACCAGAACAGCATGGAAGCTACAGCCAAGGACACAAAAGGCAGATTCTTCACCAGTGCTGGTCCCTCTGATGCTCATTCATATCAACTCAATTTGAGCGAAGACATCATGGCTGTCAAGACATCACAAAAATATCTATAATCCTGGCCCAGAGCAGAGCAGGGTTGGAGAGCAAAGTAGAATATTATCGTTTTTCCTTTTCTATATCCTGTTCTCAATAACACACCGTGTTGAAGGGGACCAGAGTCGAGGAGTCTCAGTTTAAGTATATGGAGCTCTGGGTCCTAACCTTTAGTGGTTATAAAGCCTTTGTGTTTATAAACCCTATGGACCTTCTCCTAGGAAAATAGAAGTAAGCATATACAATTAAAATTACACACACAGTTTCAGGGAGTATGTGAACCTCCCCAAATCCCTTGGATTTCTCTGCCCAAGAACCCCCAGTTTGGAAGTCTTAATTTGAACACATGCTTAAGGTCCCATAAACTTCTCAGCAGGGACCCAAGCTCCCTGGGACGTAGCCCCTGCCCGAGGCTGTTTCTAATATAAATGTCCTTGTCCTTTAAATACAAAATTGCCCTGTTTTTAGACAAGAGATAAGTTTAATTTTCAAAAAATCCAAATACGATTCGCTGTTATGAATAAAAAAAAAAACAGCCTGAAGTAAACTGGTCACTAAATTCATGTGAATGTATCAGAATGCCACAGATTCAATAAAGTCATTGTTCCTCTAGTGATCCGAATTCAGTTGTCCATTTGTTCAAAAGCTATAGTCTACTGTAAAACTCATTCACCTGCTTTTAGCAACAGATATCCTTGAAATATTATACCTACATCAACTATGAGTCTGATCAGCCAGGTCTCAGAAAAAGGCAAAAAAATCATAAAGGTTTAACACTTTCCTGTTTCTTTAGGAAAAGCTTTTAGAGCCATGAATACTATAATTGCTTTATCTCTGAAATACTTCAGATAATTCCAAGTTATGCCATGCTGTAGCCTTCTTTCTCACCAAAGGACCAAAGGAGCCATACTAAGGATATTTTCATTATTTTTGACTATGCTCACAGGTAACCATTATCCAAAATATTAGCTTTTATATGTTGTTGATATTTTTGTTTTGCCTTGCAGAAATGTAAATATCAAGATTTCTTCCATGATGTTCATCATGTTAAAGGCATAATAATAGTAAGATTGCAGTTAGCCAGGGCTCCAGGAAAACAGAAGTAATTTTCCCTACCACAATGGTTCTTAACTTCAGCTGCACATTAGAAATATCCACAGAGCTTTAAAATACCCTAAATGTCCAGACCATACGCAAACCAATGAAATCAGACTCCCTGGAAGGGTGGCCCAGGCACCCGTATTTTTAAAGTTCCTCAGGTAGCTCTAATGTGCAGTAACATTGAGAACCACTGCTCTACCCAGGAAGTTCTGGCTCAGAGGTCAATGGCCTAACTAGTGGGGGCTATTACTCACTTGGCCTTGGCCCCAGAGTGAAACGTTGAGCTCTGCTGAGCCAGGTAGGAGCAAATCCTTTTGCTCGGGCAGGAGACGCTCCTGGAGCCCAGAACTAAAGCAGGGCGCATGCGCGCGCGCGCACACACATTTTTGCAGGAGAACCAGATTCTTCCCCAGGGTCCAGGCTTTCTTTCTCAAATATAGTACAGAAACAAACTGCACCAGAATCATCTGAGGTGCTCCTTGAAAAATACAAGCTCCTGGACACATCCCCCGGAACTGCTGACCAAATTCCAGGAGAGGGTCTGGATTATTTACCACTTCACCAGGTGTTTCTGATCACCTTTAAATTCGAGCTCTTTTTGCCTAAAGCTGCCTAACACATTCTTTACTAGTCAGCAAAGCCCCTAGCCCTCCTGACAAAACTAGCCTCTTAGGGGGCGGCACTGAATGGAAGGAGGAAAGAGCGGAAGGTTGTCTCTCTACCCCTTCTGTTGCTAGAAAGAAGCAACAGGGACAAAGAGATGGCTGCCTTTAATCCCTCAAAGAGCAGCTCCCACTCTTTCACCCCTTTAGCCCCAGTATTGGGAATTACTGTTAATTCCTGTGCAGGAAACGGTGAAAATCTCTATTAGCTCATGGTTAAGCTTCTTCTTTAAACGCGACTAAACACTGTTAGCACTCTCTTCCTGGTAACAAAGCAGGTCATGGGAAAGGCAAGCAGAAGCTGCCTTCTGAGAGCTGTTGGTGCTCCAGGGATTACTGGTTCCTAAGTGTAAGTCCCAGATCTCTATAGGCAGTTCCCAGTGTTAGTAGCAATTATGTTCCACAAGTCCATTCGTAAGTCAGTCAGTTGTTCAACCCCGAGGATGCATTTTTCTATAGGAGCCAGGTCATAAATGGCTCCAAGACTAGCCTATATAAGCAATGGGGTACCTAGAGTATTGGTCTACGGAACATAATACAGGTCCAGGCTGTGAGTGGGCAGAGGGAAGAACAAGGGGCCGTGTGGGTCCAGAGCACAGTATTCAAAGGCCTCCCTGAGGGCATATTTCTCAGTTCCAAACTGCTTCTCCAGGTCGTCCCTTTGTTTCCTTTGTCCCCCAGAGACCAGCATGCCAGTGCCCCACCATCACTGTCACTTGTTGCTTCTTATGATCATGGTTTCTTTTACTTTCTGACTTACTGAAGAGGTGACTTTTTTAATGCCTTTACTACAAATCTTTGAAACTTTCTAAGAGTTGGTGTCACTGGAAATAGGGACATTCATGTGACCTAAAAATGACAGCCACTAAGCCTCTCTACAGAGCCCGTTTTCACCAGAGCCTGTGCAGAAATACACAGGTGTGTGATGCAGGCCGGGCTAGGCAGGCGGGCCACGGAACATGTTCCACTGGCCCAGACCCCGATGTTCCTGTTCTTTGGTGGTCTTGCTTCATGCTACAGGACACAACCCCACCTTAGTCACAGCTGTCCTCGATCATAGCTAGCTAGTTCTGGGTTATCCAGCTCAA